TCACACAAAAATTAAATAAGATAGGTTTATCATATAATGACACAAAGAGACATATTTTAGATAATAATATTGAAACATTAGCTTGGGGTCATTATAAACTACGTTAAGTGTTGATAGTTTTTACTTTTATGTCTGCGTTTAAGAAAAATTTATATTGATTGTAAAATTATGATAATACTATAATATGACGTAGTTTATTACATATTTAATCATTGTTTTATTGTAAATAATTTAAGTTAATTGTTGTTTCTATTTATTTGAGGTTGAGTTAATTGTAAAATTATGATGTACTAATTGTTGTTTCTATTTATTTGAGGTTGAGTTAATTGTAAAATTATGATGTACTAATTGTGTTAGAAATAGTATACAGATAATTCTGTTTTATATAATTTTTGGAATATATATTAATTGTTTACACCAACACTTTCATTTTTTATTTCACCCCTTTGAACTTTAGACGTGTGTTATGTTTCACTTTATCCATCCGTTCACTGCTATTGTGGCAGGACCAAGTGGGTGTGGGAAGTCAAATTTTGTAACAAATTTCATAAAATCAGTTACAGAAATATGTAATTGTGATTTTAATCAGATCACATGGTGCTTTGATGAAATGCAACCATTATATAATTTACCAAATGTTAACTATCATCAAGGAATTCCAAATCTTAATATGTTTGATGGTGAAAACCCACATCTTGTTATTATTGATGATCTAATGAGAGAGTCCGATGGAAGAATTGTGGATATATTTACAAAAGGTGGTCACCACAGGAATCTTAGTGTATTTTATCTAACACAAAATTTATTTCATCAGGGTAAAGGACAAAGAGACATATCTTTAAACTCAAGTTATATAATATATTTTAAAAACCCTCGAGATAAAACTCAAATAAGATATTTAGCAAGACAAGTATCACCAGATAACCCAAAATTCATTGAAAATGCCTACAGGGATGCAACTCTAGAGGCGCATGGATATTTAATGGTAGATTTAAAACAGAATACCAATGATTTTTGTCGTATCAAGACAAATGTCTTTCCATTTAATGGTTTCTGTACAGTCTACGTCCCCACAAAAGAGTTTAAATACACCAAGAATCAAACAATTGAAATCATTGCTAAATGATGCATCGTCGACTCACAACGTATAAACATTTGCTAACCGCTTTGCATACGCTTAAACCAAAATATCAAAGAGCATTACTTAAAACGTGTGATGAAGAAGAAATTAACTGTATTTGTGAGTGTATTCATAACGTTTTACAAGGAAAAGTACCTCTTAAAGATCAGGATAAACAAAAATTGAATAAACATAAAAACATACTCCGTAAACTAGTACGTAAGTGTAAACATAAACTAAGAAAAAATATAATTATACAAAAAGGAGGGGCTTTCTTACCAACAATATTAGGTGCAATATTGAGTGGATTAGGGAGTGGACTAGCCAGTTAACATGGAAAATGCAAAGAAAATGATACTTATCGAACCTGGATTGATTGAAAAATTAAAACAAGAAAATAAGGTTAATAGTAATTTATCTCGATTAGATATTGAAATGCAAAATATTATGAATAGTAAGACGGAAGACCGAAAGAAATGGATATTATATTTACAAACACTGCAAAGATACCTTCATTTTACCGAAGAGCATCGTCAACCACTCAAATTACCAATTTATTCTGATACATCTAATGAAGATTCAAATGAGTCAAAAATTGGTTTTAAAAATAAAGATAGAGATCTAAAAACTTCAGTTGATATTGAATCTTTGCTGGAGGAGAATCGATCCATTAAAAGTAAAGAAAATGATGAAAATCCACTTTACACACCAGCTCAAATACTCAGTTTAATACCAAAAACTTATCATAAAAAAGGGCAGTTATTATTAAACTTAGTTGAAACAAGTAAAAGTAAAATACATTGGGATAACGAAGGTACAGTCATAATTGATAGTGAAAAAATTCCTGGAAGTAATATTGTTGATTTAATAAATGATTCACTAAGACCCCTAAAAAGAAGTGATCCGGTAGGGTGGGTTAGATTTGCTGAAGCATTAAAAGATATTAAAGTACCACTTACTTATATTGGAAATCCAAGGAGATGTGAGTTTATTAACCAACTTCAAGCAAAAGATCTGAACAAACCCTCTGAGATTGAAGTTCAAGAGTTTTCTACACCGTGCAGTAGAGATAAAAAGTCTACAACTAAAATACGTAAAGGACTTGAGTGGGAAAAATGGACTCCGTACTAGAAGAAATTAACAGGATTTATTATGATCCATCTAATCCCGCTGGTTTTGGTAGTATTGATAAATTATCAAAAGCCATGAAGGGTAAAATGAATAAAAAGCAAGTAAAGGAATGGTTAAAATCACAAGAAACATACACATTACATAAACCCATTCGAAAAAAATTCCCGCGTAATAGGTACATTCTATCAAATATTAATGAACTGTGGCAAGCTGCTTTAAGTGATATGCGAACTTATTCTCAATATAATGATGGTTTCAAGTATATACTTTGTATTATTGATGTATTTAGTAAATATGCTTTTGCAAGACCAATGAAAAAGAAAAACTCAGAAACAACTAAAGAATGTTTTGAAAGTATATTTACTGAAAGTAATTTAACACCTACTCACATACAATCCGATAAAGGTACAGAATTTGTTTCAAAAGATGTACACAAATACTTTAAATCCAAAAAGATTAATTACTATACCACTAACAATCCTGACATTAAGGCCAGTATTGTTGAACGATTTCAAAGAACACTAAAAATGAAAATGTGGCGTTATTTCACTCATAATAATACTTATAGATATATAGATGTTTTACAAGATTTAATATACTCTTATAATCACAGCTTTCACTCTAGTATTAAGATGTGCCCATGTGATGTAAATTCCAACAATATTATGACAGTTTGGACTAATCTTTATGATAGACGGTCAAAAAAACTTTCTTTAGAAAATCCTAAACCAAATTTCAATGTGGGTGATTATGTTCGAATAACTAAATATAAACATGTATTCCAAAAAGGATATGAATCAAATTGGAGTGATGAAATATTTATTATATCTTCAATAATTGATAGATCTCCATGGGTTGTTTATACAATAACAGATTTACAAAATGAACCAATAATTGGTACTTTTTATGAAAGAGAATTACAGAAAATCACTTACAACCCCACCTCACAACATAAAATAGATAAAATAATTGACACTCGTTATTCGGGTAACAGAAAAGAAGTATTAGTGAAGTGGAAAGGTTATCCAGATAAATTTAACAGTTGGATTTTAGCTTCTAGTTTAAAAGAAATATGAATAAAGAAAGTTTCTATTTAACTTTGCTCAGCAATAGTTCAATGGAATACTTTCCTGATAACAAGACCACAAATTTTTCAACGAAATTACCAAAAGCTATAAAATTAGAAGGTGAATGGTCGGTTGGAGTTGTCGAGTTTCAATATCCATGTACCATGTTTACTGTTCAAGACCATGAAAATGTTATATACATTACAAAATCTATGTTAATGCCTAATGAAGATAAGCCATCCACAGTGTACTACAAAAAACATATTCCAGCTACCAACTATGATAACGTTGAGCATATTTTAAGAGTGTTAAATGGTATCGGAGAGAACTTGAAATTTCGCTATGATGAAATAACAAAATTTGTGTCTATTTCGGTATTGGATAAAAATATAACATCCGTAACATTATCACCCAAATTAAGTTTACAGCTAGGTTATGAACCAAATAAAAATCTCCTACAGAGAAATTTTGGAAAGTGTCCTGCTAATTTACACTTAGGGTTACCATCTCAACTATTTCTATATTGCGACATTATCGATCCTCAGATTGTGGGTGATGTTATGACTCCTTTATTAAGAGTCATTTCATTAGATCCTACAAAATACATTTATGGTGCAAATAAAATGCACGTTTTCTCTCAACCTCACTACTTACCTGTTATGCGAAGAGAGTTCGATACGTTGGAAATAGTTATAAGATCGAGTACAGGACAAAAAATACCATTCCAGTTTGGAACCGTGTGTATTAAACTACATTTCCGAAAATTATAATAATGAATTCTCTTCGTGATCATCATAAATGTCCATATGAAAATTATTATACACATCAAGCTGGATCAGGAGTTGGAGTAATTTATAAGGGTTCACCATATCAACGCGGTCATGGTATTGGGAGCTTCTTAGGGGGGTTATTCAGATCAGTTTTACCTTTACTTTCAAGTGGTGCTCGAGTGATTGGTAAGGAGGCATTAAGCGCTGGAGTAGGACTTTTATCGGATATGGTTCAAGCCCGTCCTATGGAAGCCTCAATAAAAGATCGTCTAAAGCAAGTTAGTACGAATTTAAAACGAAAGGCTGATGAGAAAATTGATCAATTTAACATGACTGGATCTGGGTATAAAACTAAAAGAAAACGATTGACATCGTTCATTCCACCATTAACTGCTAAAGTGAAAGCTGCGAAAAAACTTAGTCTAAAACCAAAAAATATCAAAGATATATTTTCAAACTAAATATGTCTTTCCTTCATAATCATTCTTGCGAGTGCGTTAAGTCAGAATTGGATTTGTTTGCACTACCGTCTACACAAACTAGCATTGAAAATGGATTGTGGATTCATTATAAACCAATTTCATCTCTTGGTGATGATGGACCTATCGAGTTTCAAGTTCCTGGGACCGGCGATGACTACATAGATTTGTCTCATACATTACTCCACATAAAGGCAAAAGTATTAAATCAAGATTCAACTAACTTGGTATCTACTACAATAGTAGCCCTGTAAATAATTGGCTGCATTCACTTTTTAGTCAACTTGATGTTTATTTAAACCAAAAACTTGTATCACCACCTAATAATACCTATGCATATCGAGCATACATGGAAACCCTTTTAAACTATGCCCCTGCTGCTAAACAATCTCATCTTACTTGTAGTCTTTGGTATGAGGATACAGCAGGAAAAATGGATTCTACAGATGGTAAAAACATAGGATTTGTTAAAAGACAGGAATTGATTAGTGAAAGAAAGGAAATAGAAATGATTGGTCATCTTCACGGTGACATTTTTAACCAAGATAAATTTTTAATTAATGGTGTTGAAATGAGTGTTAAATTGGTTCGATCAAGAGAGAGTTTTAATTTAATTGTTGGATCAAACGATGTAAAGTTTAAAGTTTGTATTACGGACGCAACTCTTATTGTTCGACGAGCACGAATTAATCCAAGTGTATTACTCGCACATCAAAAAGTTTTAGCTTCTACCACTGCTAAATATCCTATTACTCGAGCTGAAGTAAAAGTTTTAACAATTCCTTCGGGTGTTCAAGGAAAAACTCTTGATAATATATTTTTAGGACAGGTACCGAAAAGATGTATAATTGGATTTGTGAACAATTCTGCATTTAATGGTTCCCTTACTAAAAATCCATTTAACTTTGAAAACTATGGTATTAATTCTTTCAGCTTATATATTGATGGTCAACAAATACCTTCAAAAGCTTTGCAACCATCTTTTAATAATAGCATATTTACATCAGCATATCATACTCTATTCTCGGGAACTGGTATTCACTTTCTTAATGAAGGAAATGGAATCTCTTGTGAACAGTATGGCAAAGGTTACTGTCTATTAGCATTTGACTTAACTCCTGATTTATCAGCTAACTCATCAACTCATTGGAATCTCATAAAGCATGGTAGTGTAAGAATAGAAGTACGATTTGAATCCTCATTAATACAAACAATTAACTGTATAGTTTATGCTGAGTTTGATAATATTATTGAGATAGATAAAAACAGAAATGTTACTGTAGACTATAGTAGTTAAGGTTATAATATGTGTTGTGTGTTAGATTTTATGTGTTATGTGTAATGCATTTTGTGTGTATGTAACTATGTGAAACGTTATAAAATTAAATAAAACAAATTGTATGCAATATATTTTTTTTATTTCTTTATAAATCTTCTATTTAATCTAATACAAAACACTGTTCGAGTTGAAATTTTACATAAGCACACTGACTAAACCACTGAACATGCTGCTGCCAAGGATCATCATCATCTTCCCAATCTTTTAAACCACCACCACAATGGAAACACTTGGTCCCGTCTGCATGGCCAGTATAAAAGAAACCAGCTTTGGCAAGATCTTCAGGTTTCTGTCGCATAACTAGAGGTCAGTTTTCGAAACTAAGCAAACGGCTAGATTTTGAACTGAAGAATGGATATTCAGCTCTTGAGTACTGCATACTCTTCTCGTTTTCTTCTCCACTCAGTGTTGTAGTTTTGTTATTCAATGATGTGTTTTGTACACGTATGCCACACTCATCTCTTCCTTCCGCTCTTGTCTTCCTGTAATTGAAGTAAACAGAATCACATTCACTAATGATCAGCTAATGACTGTCATTGTTAAAAAAGTATTTTTTAACTTTTTCACTTTCTGCTATTGTCTTTGTTATATTGTATACGAGGGCGTTTGTATTGTCGTAGATGCTATCCTTATTAGTCTTTACGTAATATTTAATTCTCGTGGAAGCATGTTTCCAATGATCAGTAGTTGGAATCTTGGATAGCTTCTTCATATCGTACATTTCAATTTTGATGAGATGCGCCGCTTGGTCTCCGTCGTCAGAATTAGTAGAAATGTATGATACACCATCTCTAGCGGCTCGTGCTACGGTTGATGATAACAGCTTCCTCTTTTTTATTTTTGATTCAGCTTCAAAAAAATGATCAATCGATTGCGATTTTCTTTTTCCACCATCGCATGTGTTATTATTAATGACGAGGTTATCACTCTCTTCTTGAGGGGAGAGTGGCGAGTAGTAATACTGTTTATAGGTATCTTCATCGAAGCTCAATGATTTCTGCAACAACACAGTTATCATGTTAATATCAATTTGTTAACACTTAATCATAAAAGTTAAAAAAGTTAAAGTTACAGCCTATTAAAGTCCACTGCTGAACATAGGCCTCCTCTCATTTCTGAGAGGGTTTTAGAGCAAGGAAATGTCCGCCGCGCTCCCTCAATGTGTGTTGGCGAACTTCACATGCCTTCGAAATTTTCTCAGACATGCAGGTTTCCTCACGATGTTTTCCTTCACCACCAAGCACGTGGTAATAAGCACTTAAAATTGCTATTAACAATTTAATTGGTGCTGGCGGGGATCGAACCCGGGTCGCGTACTGTGAAATTTACAGCTAGCGCTAACCATCTGAGTTACCACGGCTTAATCATATACATACACAATATTTAAATAAAATAATACACACACATGAAAATAACAGAACACGTGGTAATAAGCACTTAAAATTGCTATTAACAATTTAATTGGTGCTGGCGGGGATCGAACCCGGGTCGCGTACTGTGAAATTTACAGCTAGCGCTAACCATCTGAGTTACCACGGCTTAATCATATACATACACAATATTTAAATAAAATAATACACACACATGAAAATAACAGAAAAAAAGTAATTTAGTCAATAGAATAAACACTTACATCCATAGCCTTTGGTGTATTGAAGTAACACAAATGTATAGATCCACTGTAGCCAAACGACCGTACACTAACTCGATGACTGCGTTTGTTGGTCTTATATACCACCAGTACGTAAAAATTCTAATCTAAAGTATTTCCGTAATGAGTTGATAATTACTTTATGCGTCAACCAGTTTATCTCACATTTCCGTTGCCTATCTCAACATTTCTTCGTATTGTGTTTTGTTTGGTGATCAATGACTCAAGTACAATTTGTATAACACAAAAATGCAATTTAATATTTAGAAACATATCAGTTTATCTCACATTTCCGTTGCCTATCTCAACATTTCTTCGTATTGTGTTTTGTTTGGTGATCAATGACTCAAGTACGATTTGTATAACACAAAAATGCAATTTAATATGTAGAAATCACTATAATTGACCATTCCTATATTATTCATTGAGTAGCTAGGTACTGTAATAATCTACTAATAGCAGTAATATCATGGATACACTAGATGTACAACAACATCTGAAAAAGATTCACCCCAGTCTAGAAAATAATGTTTATGCAGCTAATAGACTGCCTATGTATACCCACGTACCAACGTATATAATATGTAATTTGGATACAGATGATAAACCAGGGTCACATTGGGTAGCTTTATATATCGATACGAATGACGTCGGTCAATATTTTGATTCATATGGACGATCACCTGTACGATATCATCTAGAGTTTTTAAAAAGGAATTGTAAAAGATGGAACTGGAATGTTGATAGGATTCAGAATGAGTGGACTTCAGTTTGTGGCGAATATTGCTTAATGTATTTACTATATAAGTTTCAAGGATGTTCAATACATAGTTTTACGAGTATATTTACAAGGAACACATTGTACAACGATATTTTAGTGGATGAGATGTTTCGCTCCTATTTTATAGATAATAATTAATAAGATTTTGTATTTTATAAATAAAAATTGTAACAAAATTATGTAATGTGTTTTATTGATGATTCAGATTAGCGTTGTATAAACAAAGAATTATAATACAATAGCACTGATATAGTCGACGCACACGCTGCAATGAAGGTGATTAAGGAACAATAGAACAATAGAAATAGGAACAATGGGACGCTAATGACGGTGGAGGCCCTTACCGGATATCAATTAGATATTAGCTAATTGATCTACACATCTCCGGAACCGTGATTCTACACAAAAATGGACCGCGGATTCGTGATCAGAGCATGCCAAAACCTTTTTTTTTTTTTTTTTTTTTTTTTTAGGATCGGGCGTCGACGAATGTCGTTGAACCACGTCTGACTCAGGTGGTCTAGAAGTGGTACAACTACACTACTATTATGTTTTATTTGCGGTAAATTTATTAAAGTAAGAAGCAAAAAAAAACTTTGGCAACAAATTTAAAGCTTTGTGAAGTTTATGAAGCCTCTTATAACCTGCGAATTTAGCATCAAGTTAAAAAAGGTACCTCTATTTACCTGTGTTAATTGCAAAAATACTTTAGAATTATATAATATATTAAGTAATATTTTTGTAATTTAAATAATCAATAACTGTTATTAATAAACGGAAAAATTAACAGAATAAACCCCAATTCATCTTAATTCTCATTTTTTTAATTAACGATATATTCGTAATATTTGCATTTTTCAACCGTTCCAAAATTACAGTATTTAAAACAAGGTGGAAATTATAATATCGAGTGGGTACCAGTTGTAACCACTCGATATTATGTTATGATACTATATCAGAGTTTAATAATACCTATATTGACGCTACCATTGCATAATATAAAATTAGGTCTTATGAAACAATTTTTGAAAGCTCTGGAACAAAATTCTAAAGGTTTTGAATATTTAAAAAGGATTCATTCTAAAGTAAAAGCGAGTATTTCCGACGGGCAAATAAAAAAACAATGAACAGCGATGAATCCACGCATTTACACAATATTATTGAAAAACAAACCTGGGACAGTCTTAAAGAAGTAGTTAATGGGTTTCTCGGAAACAACAGAGCTGACAATTATCATTTGATTGAAACACTGTTTGAAAGCTTTCAAATTGTGAATTGCACAATGCCCTATAAACTTCATACGCTACACGTTTACCGGGACCAAATTAATGATAATATGGGTACCTATTCAGAAGAGCAAGGAGAGCGTTTTCACCAAGGTGTGATGGACTTTGAATGACGTTACCAAGGGTAGTACAACAAGAATATGGTGGGAGATTACATTTGGAGTTTAATATGAGAAAATCTATACAAATAATAAATTCACTAAAAACTTTAATTTTTGAACTTGATTTTTATTACTTTTCATTTGTATGCTACGAGTATTACTAATCATTATTCTTGAATGAAAAATAATCAGATATTAAGTAAAAAAAATCTGATTGTAATTTATAATAAATCAGTAATTTTCCATAACATTCGCAAAATTGCTCTGGTTTCTACAAAAACAAACTTTAATCATAAAAATATTTTTCCCTTTATTATTAACGTAAAAGAAACCAAAATTTGACATTCAGGAGACAGACCAAAAAATCGTGTCGACCGGTGCAATACAACTAAGCATTATACATGATAAAGTAATATGCTGCAGCTATATTATGACTGTTAGGGATTGACTAGGGTAGAACAAACCACGCTCTCACAGAATACCAGTGTAAAATAGCAGCATAATGCTGCTCTCTTTCGTATGGTCAGTGTAGACAATTGGAGACCCTTCTTACTGGAAACGAGGCATTCTGTCTTAGTTCTTAGGGGTGACAACGCGCCTATATTTTGATTATTAATCGAAGGTAAATGGTATTCTTTGTGTAAATGGATTCTGTGTATTCTATAAAAAATGTAGTCTTATTACACAACGGTTATTGACAGCCTCGGACTTGGACTATGGCGCAAAAAAAATTATTTATTTTATTATATTTAGTTTTTTTACCAAGAACGGGGCTTATGAACTTCCACCCACAAAGGGCAGTGTCGGGGCGTTTTAATGGGGCTTTAATCAATAGACAGACTGATTTTTTTATAGGAGGATTATTCTGCCTATGTGCTCTGACTTTGCCTTGTCAATAACTTTTTTGTAGGACCTGGAGGCGAAGTTATACTTCTTTCTAAGTGTGCTAGTGTTTACATCCCGAGTCGCCGAAGCCGCAACCCAGGCTTGATAACACTCCTGCTTACTGCGTAATGCAGTCTTACAGGAGCGACCAAATCAAGGCTAACATCTGCCTCCAATGGGTACCACAGATGATGGAATAAATAGTTCCATTCCCTGTAGCACCACATCAGTGACAGAGTCAGCAACAGCGCTGG